TCCAGCTGCCGCTGATCACAGCGTGAGCATAAAAAGGCAGCCGGTGCAACGCATACCAGCTTTTCACTTCGGAGCCGAGCGATAACATCGTTCTGCTCCTACCAATATCTTAGTTTGTGACAACGAGTTCAACTCTAGGGAGCTTTTTGTGTTGGCGGATGGCGCTTCAGCGGTGGTCGTTCCTGTGTCGAGTGGGTTGCGCACTTCAGGCTTCACTACCCCCTGTCGTGCTGCAAGTGGCCATTTCCCCTGTGCATCTCAGCAGTACCACGGGCAGTCAGAGGGTTACAGTGGTGACAAACCCCTCAGGGAACCAACCCTCGGGGGACCATCACTCCTCTAGCGCTTCGCAACCAGTCGAGCCGCCAAAGGAATGCGCTGGGCCCCCTTCAAAGAGCGTACCAGCGGTATCCTTCGGTGCTCCTCCCGACGACCGGATGTCGATAACTGCATCGGAGGGAGAGCTCTCTGGAAAGGAATATTCGGCTACACTGCCGCCCTCCAGGACGGTGGCAACGCCTGAATCGGATCCGGAGATGTCGGCTATGCTTTCCCGGGCCGCCGAGATTGGAAACAGAGTGGAAACCTCCACCGCGTCCCGAGCCCTCGAGGTTGGACGATTGGTTTCTCAGGGTGGTTCGCGCCGGTGCCTTTCTTCCCGAAGGTGCATGAGGAGCTCACCAGGTCATGGACGGCACCTTTTACTGCCAGAAACCGACCTGCTGGTTCCTCCTCCCTCACCACCCTCGACGGGGGTGCAGCTAGGGGGTATACGGTGATCCCCCCGGTGGAGCGGTTGGTAGCGATCCAGTTGTGTCCTAAGACCGCCTCCTCCTGGCGGGGAAACCCGTCGCTCCCTTCCCGGGCCTGTAGGCATTTGTGTCTGGTCTGTCCGGCGTTGCTTATATGGCTTGTGGAGAAGCTGCCTCCGCCTTACACGCTATGGCGTTACTGCAGTTTCATCAGGCCAAGGCACTGAAGGACCTGCACGAGGGTGGTCACGATCCGGAAGTTCTGAAAGAGCTTCGAACCGCTACTGACCTCGCTCTCCAAGCGACAGAGGTCACCGCGAGTTCTCTGGGTCATGCGATGTCCACACTTGTGGTCCAGGAGCGCCATCTCTGGCTGTGTCTGGCAGACATAAGGAACGCCAACAAAGTACGGTTCCTCAATGCCCCTGTGTCCCAGACTGGCCTCTTCGGCGACGCGGTCGAGAGCTTTGCCCAGCAGTTCTCAGCTGCACAGAAGCAGACTGAGGCTTCTCATCCAGACTAGGCCAGACATGCCAGACTGGGGCATCATATCCTGCCACGGCGGGCAACTGCTGCCTCCACCAGCCTGCTCGTCACCGAGGGCGGCCCCCTGCATCAATCCCCGCTCCCGTGCCGCATCCGCAGCAGCCTCGAGCAAGCGGCACCGTGGAGCTGGGTGTAGGCAGGCCGCCCCGCCCATCCAGGCCTCCGTGAAACTTGGCAGTGAGCAGAAGAGCAAGAGGCCCCAGGACGGGTGACCCAGAGAGAGAGGGAGCTGCTCTTTGGGGGATGGTGAATGCACCTCTCCCTCCCCCGGAGGAGGGCCGGGTGCAGTATCTGGTTTCCAAAAATCTTGACGAGAGAGCGGTTATCTCAGTCTCTGGGTCCCAAGAGGGCACGGAGAGTTGCGGACGGACCAACACCAGACCACACTCATCCTCCTCTCTCGCCAGCAGGCAGCAGTGGGCAGTTTGAGAGCGTCATCAAAGGCCCTACTCTCTCACCCTCTGCCAAACCGTGGAACCAGGTCTTCGGCCCGCCCACGAGCTGCCTGAGTTGGGTCCCTGCGTTCCACCTCGCTGCCCCACTGCAGGTACGGTGGTGGTTCCGCTGGTCCCGCTTGCACGGTATCTGGATGCCTGACTAGCGCTAACCAGCCCATCTTGCTGCCTTCTGCGGACCAACAGCCTCGGCTATGCGATTC